TTCCTCCTTCTCAATCAAAACCCTCTTATGCAAACCTAAAATCGTCACTTATTCCGGGTGTGGATAAGTTAGAATGCAGTTTGCGCATAAATTTACAGGTCACCAGCTCCATTCATGCATAACACGTGTAGCTCACACGCTCACCTTTGAGAAGCTGCATGGAGAAGCTTTAATACCTTTCCCTTCCACTGACGAAAACACATATCCAAAGGCTGCAGAGGACATGTACTACGTTATTCGTCGCTATACTTCAATATCCTGATGTAGGCTACCCTCTTGCAGAGTCGAAATAATTTAGGTCTCTCACCACTTTTAAATTCTGCGCAGCCCTGATGAGGTGGTGTGGATGAAGGGCCGAGATAAAGTTTAAAAAAATCACATGTGGTGATTATTCTTTATATACGCCAACAATTTCCTCTCATTAGTCAACGAGCAGGAAAAAATGGATAACTGCTTTGGTTTAAGGCCCTTTTATAGCATCCCGAAACCCTAACACTTTGATACACTGTTTCAAGTTGTATCACGGTCGCTACAAAACATATCATCGAAGTTAGTACTGACATGCAGAGTATTGAAAAAAGGAAAAAAGATCTTTGATCATTTCACAAATTATCAAAATACATAAAATCCTGGTATGATTTTAATCACAAGCAAAATATTGTGGAAGCTTTAAATAAAATGGAAAAAGTGCGTGACTACTCTGCAATCTATATTGTATATACACACCACTCTCGTTTCGCAAGACAGTGGAAAGTTCAAATGTACTTCTTAGATTCTGTGTGTGTGTGTGAGAGAGAGAGAGAGAGAGAGAGAGAGAGAGAGAGAGAGAGAGAGAGAGAGAGAGAGAGAGAGAGAGAGAGAGAGAGAGAGAGAGAGAGAAACACACACACACACACACACACACACACACACACACACACACACACACACACACACACACACACACACACACACACACACACACACACACACACACACACACACACATATTCTATTACATACATTGTTCTTTGTATGAAAAATGGAATTTGCATAAGGTCTTGCATCTTATCGTATCCACCGAGAGTGAATTCCGTGTCCAAATCAGACAACAGGGCAATTCCAATGATCACGGACATTTATTTGACTTATTAATTAAATTATACCAACTACTCAAGATGCATAGCATTTTCTTTGATATTTTTGAGCCTGTAAGATTATATCACAGAGGTACAGAATGATTTTGAAGACATTCATCCCACCGAAGTCAATACCACGTCATATGACTCCGACATGTTAGAAATTCCAGGCATGTCGTTCCAGCGATCGGCATGATTGACTTCAAATCTTACCCTTATAGAGTGAATGTATATTTGATGTACTGTTAAAAAGTCACAGAAATATTGTAAGCACCCTTACAATAAAAAGTTTAATCAAGAAACTATTATGAAAATATAAATCCCTATCTGAGACTACGTGAAATATATCTGAAAAATATCGCGCTCTGATTGGCTGGCCGGGGTGTATCAAAATATTTGCCTTCAACTAGATGCAAAATGAAAAGATGTTTCAACGGGTTCCAATAATTTACGCGCTAAGGGCAAACATGTGTCAGAGTATATCAGTGTTAAGGATTTCGGTAATGTTACAAAAGAGGCCTCTAGTTGAAGGCATACACTTCGAAACAAAATGAAAAAGAGGTTTCAAAAGGTTCTAATAACCTATCAGTCAGTCGGTCACTTTATCAGTCAATATAAATAATATGGCTCCATGCTTACATCCTGTTAAAGATCCCATTGTGGTTATATCTTGTTTTTGCAAGACAGGATAACTAGGTTGTATGGAAGGTATGGAGCGCGAACACTTGTTACGTCATAACATGTTAACTTCTTCCATCCTATATGTATTATTCTGACAGGCAGGCATGATTCTCCTCATACTATCATCCGGACCATGCTACGTGAAATCTTATCGGATATACATAATGGACGAGAATAACCACAGCAAAATCACGGAGCACACTGCCCGTGCCTGCTGCAATGGGAACCTCCTCCTTTGTACTGTCTTGTAATTGACTGAGCCAAGAACGACAAGACTTTAGTGTCCTTCCTCTCTTCCCTTACACATACTTACAAGTGTTCCTGGTGCAAGCATGCTATTGCAGGCTGCAGTGATCACTTCTCCATTACATTTATTAATTCCATAAGTTTGAGAAATATACATTAAAAGCAAGTATCTTTTCCGAGATACCGGTCTTTCGATCAATAGTTAATTCCCTAAAAGTTTGATAAGGAAAGGAAGATGGTAGAAATGGAAATATAAAACGAAGGAACAGATACAGGGGGGTGTAGAAACATCTTGGGAAGAGGGGTGGGTGGAGTAAAACGTTGACATGCTTCCTGTCTGGCTTCACGTAATAGTAATTCCAAGTTTGAAACTGAGAGTTGCCACCTCAAACTTATAGGTAGGATAGACCCTATCAAATACATTATGGAAGCCACCTCAAATTTACACGTGTGCGTTATTGCATACCAGTTTGATCGATCATGATCAGGTTGGGCACATGGTGGGAATCGGGCTTTAGTGCGGTAGTGTTTGGCACGGTGGCCTTGACGCCAACAATTTTGACACTGCATTGTAGTACATGAAGTAGGCGAGTAAGTCTTCTCCTTTAAGTAAAGTAGTAGATGTGGATAATAAGACTGTAAAGTAGTAATAATGGAAGAAGAGTTGGAGGGGATGAAGTAGATGATGTTGGGAGAGGAGGAATGTAAAGACCTGAGTGGATGATTTGGACTGGACTGAGGTGACAGTAGACGTTGAGAAGGTAGTAGTAGTGTTCAGAGTCGTGATCAAAGCCTGGGGTCAGGGAACTGAGGGAAATAAATCTGTGGTGCAAACCTCTTGTCCCTAATAGAGGCATAAAATCTTCATTACTGGCCATGGTAAGTCTGGAGTATGTTGGGGAGAGAAATGGTCCATCCCTCAGAGATCCTTCGAGGGGTAAGGGCTAGACAATTAAACGGGAATACCGTACTGATGCCCCCCTAAGCCATTCATGACTGGGACAGTCAGCCTTTCATCCTTTCAACACGGCTCTCACGCATTAGGTGGTGGATAGTAGAAGGGGTTGGAGAAGATAAAGAGGGGAAGAAGAGAAGACCGTGCAAAATTAGCCGAGTCAAGGACCGAGGCCCAAGGTGTGGGTGATCCCTGGCAATGAACCCCAGTCTCCGTCGCTTAGACCCTCCCCCCCCGCCCCCGCGGCAACAGTGGACCAGGGATGGGGGGGGGGGGCTGCATAAACATGACCAGTGAATGATTAACATATTACAGTGACGATTTACCTTGGTAGTATATAAATATTAGTATACTTAAATCTAGTCAAATTTCTAAGATAACGACAGGCAACAAGATTATACTGACTGTTTTCGGTGGTGTTATTGGAAACCTTAAAACTTTGGTGTGGGGCGAGTTCTCTTTTCACTCGGCCACAGGAGTTCGCGACCATTAAATTGTTTTCTGCCTAACAGGCTAGTAACAGTGTGTAGGACAAGTCATTGTTATTTTAGTGGAAATCCCTCCACTCGGCAGTCCAGGGCATTCTACTGTGTTCATTGTTTCACCTACATTCTTACTCTTCCACAATGTTATCAGATCAAATGACGAAAAAATCCTTTGCCAGTCGAAAAAACCCTGTCAAGTGTACATTTCAATGAGCAAGTAAAATGGCAAAATGGAAAGTATTGGGTTTAGGAGAAGTTATTGTGTAAAAACGTGGAAAGATTGTATTTCCTGATGATTGTACCCATGATCTGTAACATTAGAAATTTCACCATAAAACAGGCAATCACAAAATGTTAAAAGAATGCATAAGTCGATTTTAACACTTATTCAGAACATGAAAATAATGAAAGAAATAATCATAACAGGTCTTCTGTAGAGGTCGTTGATCTTTTTTCTCTTTCCTAAGTTTTCTCTTATGGCCTCAAGTCATACACATTCCTCCTTTGTGAAACTGTATTATTCCAAACCAATTACCAAATCATATTTGCCAAATTATATTTTATTCAAACTCATAATTTGTATGTTGAATTTTACAAATCATTTGAAGAGGAATGGTATTTACCCTAGATCCATGATGTATCATGCTGTAGAGAACAAATCGTTCTATACAAAGAACCTACAGGGCCAGGTTGTGATATATATTATATACAAATTGATTGTGTCAAAATTGATGTCAGCATCAAAGTTGTTAAGTGCAGCTTCAGTATCTTGCATTGTTATATCTACAACACAAAACAAAAACTTAATACTGTTGCAAAAGCAGTATTTTCTCCAAGTAATTTGTCATGGCTTTAAGTACAAATACACGATCCAGATTTCCTTTTTATCTCTGTTTTGTACAATATGCCAGCTCCAATTGTGCCCCTCTCAGGCTCACAAGAATGAAGCAATACCAGCTATGTTCACTGAAGGCAGTGCAGCTTATTACATTTATTACAATAAACCTTGTAAAGTTGTATAGGGTCATGATTCAATGCTATAATGATCATCATAACAACATTATTACAATTTCTTTAACAGTGTTATGAATAGTTTCTTAACTTTGAGGGAATATGCAATTGAAGTTATGGTGCTTTGTTTGAGACATATTCCCTAATTCCTCACCAGGTTCCCGATGTTTCATCTTGCGTGACATACCTGACTGTGAATATTATTTTGGGCTTGAACATACCCCTGAGTAATGGAAGGTCATTTTAAACTTAACAAACATTCAATAGATACCATTAAGATCAAAACAATGCTCTTCAAATATGGTTTTACCTTTCATGCTCATCATTTAGACATATACGCAAAAGCACAGTATAATAAATTGTAAGATATCAAAGTAACTGACGGTCATTGATGTTACAAGATTAAATTTTGTAAGTACCATTGCTTACGATTGTGTAACACTTTACATCACTCCTTAGAACATTCTCTTATACTTAAAAAGGAATTTAAAGAAAAAACAAGTATTACAAAGTCTATCTATGTATTGTAGAGGGCTGAATGAATGAATGAACTAAGTACAGAACAGAAATAATTATCTTATTAATACAAAATTAATGACAGTGTGTCTGGTTGTTTTTCCATTTCTTTATTTTTTTATTTTTTTTAATTCCATCCATCACAACTCCTCCTCTTTAGATTTGAGGTTTGGGTCTCTGTATCACACATGACCCATCAAAGGATAAATTTTTAGGACAGGCATGGGCACCACAGCTGCTATACACTTTATCGGGATTTACATTTACTATAAAAATACCTATCGTCACTTGAATTTGTCGAGATTCCTACTCTAGAAAAGTAAATTATGCAATTGTAGACTAGAGTAAATATTTAAAGTCATTGTACGAGAAGTAATTCATCATTTACTGTGTTAAAAACAAATACCTTGGAATATAGCAGCATGTAAACCCATTGCAGGACATAGAAATGTAATTATCATATCCAACAAGTAAAAAAATAAAAAATAAAAAATAAAACAAACAAAAATGTAGAAGAATGTGAAGTGATGTTCATCCCTATGTCAAGTGACATTACATTTCCCAAAGACAAGGGATTCTCACTGTCCTGGCTGACCAATAACAAATTCCATACCATCACAGATGAAAAAGGAAAGAAAAAAGAGAAAGAAAAAAAGAAAGAAAAAAAATCTAAAGGCCAGTGAAAGAAATCAAATTGTAATTACAATCTCTGCTTACAAGTAAATTATTATAAGTCTGATTTAAGTTGCAGAAACATAATAAATAACTTAAATTCAAAGAAAAAAAAAAAAGCTAAATAATACAGAAATTATGAGTAAGGATAAAATCACTGAAACAAGAGATTAAAGGCAAGAAAGTGAGTAGAAAAAAAATAATTAGGCAGTAAATCCTGGAACTGAGGTGTGCTGGATTGAGGGTGGGGTAGGGTGGGGGGGAGACACTGGAAGTACAGACTACAGTAAAAAGATGGATTGTAATGGAGACGCTTGACTGACCCTTGGCAGCATACTTTTAATTCTTCCCTGCCAGTACGCATCCATTCTGCTGTCTTGCTTTGCAAATTGCAGCTGTCAAAGGGTCATTTCTGGAACCTGGGGGTGCATGTTGCATGTGATCATGACACAGCATTGGTGGATGTTTCATACCCAGTCAAATTATGTTAAAAAAATAAATAAGAGAGAGAAAAAAAAAGAAAAGAAAAGAAAAAAAAAATTGATACTGGTGCAGTAAATGTTCAACTGGACAAAATACAAATTACACAGGTTATCACTAATATCACTACGAATCACTGAAAATTTCATGATGAACATGCGGCAACCATATGTACACAAAAGAGTCTGAATAAAAAATAGTATGGGTGGTGGTTGAAGTTATTCTTATCTTTCACTTTGAACTTTGGGTGGTGGTTCCAGGGAACATCTGGCAACTTGAGTGCCAGCCTATATCCATTCCATCTTCCTACTCACAGCATCTCTTCTTGTCATTTTATTTTTTGTTTGTTTGTTTTTGTATTTTTACAGATTACTTTTGTCAATAATGGATTAATCACTCATCACTCATACAAACCAACCCTCTTTTTTTAACAATCTTGGGAATTCCACAGTACTTTTATAACAATGTTCTTCATTCTTATCATCATCCGTTACCTCATTAATCCTGTCAGATCAGATCATTAGAAAAGCCCCATCTTGGATGTTGCTTCTCCTCAGGTACTCCTCACAGATTCACACCATAACTACACAAGAGTCACCCTATGGAACTAGTCTGCAGATCCACCAGCTTGCACAAGCCCTCTCTGTGTTTTAAGCTTCACTCACACAAAATTCCTCTCACTTAGCATTAAGAGGTTTTGAACTTTGATTCTTCCGTCTTCAAGACTTCCTTCTTCTTCTTCTTCATAAAGGTAATTGTAGCAAACTCCAAACTCCTCGGGTCAATTAATAAACATTTTATTTAATGAAGATAAATCATTTGGCCCTAAAAAAGGCTTTTGAAATAATAATTGGTATCCAGTTACAGGCAGTGCTCCTAGTCCCCTATCTGGGTGGTAACACTGGCTTGGGGGGACCACCACTGTGCCACTCAGTTTCTGTTAATGGTACGTACTGGATTCTAACGCACATTTGGGGTGTGAGAGAGAGAGAGAGAGAAGAGAGAGTCTGGCCGTCCTCTCCTGGAATTAAAAAGTCCTCCACAACAACACTTTGCCTATCAAGCCAAAACGGCAGCAGTCCGACATGCTGCTTTGGGTGTCCGGCTTGCACACACAAACACGCTCAAGTCACTGTTGGGGCACACGGTCATTGAAAACAAGCCACTTTTGGGGGGACATCCGTTGAGGAATCCCACGCGCACTCCAGCAGGGAATGTGTTGTCGTTCTCTTAGCTCATCGGCGCAGAGGGTTTGGGTTGGGGCGGGGTTGTGTCCTCGTCCTGGCTGGATCAGTCGCTCGTAAGGTGTGTGAAGGGGGTGATGGGGGTTGGCGTG